GTGAAAATATTTAGAAATATTTATACAAGGGATGTTTGGAAAGAAATTAGTTGTATTTTTAACCAGCCAACTTCATTCTAAACTTGGACAGCTGACATTTCAAGGCTTATTTGTAAATATCTTCTAACGAAGCGAAAGAACCACAGCAAAGAAGTATAATATGACAAAGGAACGTAAAAATATAACATAAAGAAGTACGAAATACAAAAGGACTGTACCAAATTGGACCCCGAGGCGGAATGAAGTCGAGCGAAGATTCTCGCAGAGAAAATAGCGAATTAACATCGCGTCTGTAATTAACCACAGCCATAAACCTAAAACCAAACGAGTCTCCCCTCGATGCATTCTTCTTCACCCCATACTCTCGCACGGATGTACACGAAGTGGCTGGATTTATTCTCCGCGAGAAAGTTGGAACGCTCTGTTCGGAATGTAAATAATTGAGGGTCCCTTAGAGCTGGCGAGATCGTGACGCACTTTGTCCGTGGGCGGAATTTTTCCAGCGTGCAGAGAAATTCCGCCGGTTGCGAGTCAGAAACTAAATCTACCCCGCGAGTCTCCTTTTTCTGCAACTTCGCGATCTTACGTACACCTAAGACCCTATTACGCACGTCTACCCATCCGGGACGAAGTGCATTTGTCGAACGAGGACGAAAGTAACCATTTTCAATAGAATTCCTGCAAAGCGTGCACTGGAAGAACGATGTACGATATCGACGGACTTCTCTAATTTTAGGCGCCATTTTTTAATTTTCTATGTATATCTAAAACTCTGTTAGGAACATTTGTTGACTCAGGACGAAGTGCATTCGTTGCTGAAGAAGAAAGTAACCATTTTCAATAGAATTCCTGCAAAATGTACACTGGAAGAACGATATTCGATATCGACGGACCTCCCTAATTTTAGGCGCCATTTTTTAATTTTCCAGGTACATCTAAGACTCTGTTAGGAACATTTATTGACTCAGGACGAAGTGCATTCGTCGTTAAAAACGAAAGTAATAATTTGCAGTAGAATTTCTGCAAAGTGTACGCAAGGAGAACGATATTCGATATCGGCGCGACGATAATTTCGGCGTACCTCCCTAATTTTAGGCGCCATTTTTTAATTTTAGCACAGGAAATTTAATCACATCGGCGTTCCAGCGTGAAGTTTTTCGAACCGCCACTGGAAATAGACATTCGAAATAGAGAAACTTGATTCACGCATCGCGGAAATAGCGTTGATTTATCGTGGCGCCAACTACGACAATGCCACCCTCCACTTCCGTTACTTTATTGAATATAACCGATTCGTGGAAACTGCTGGAAGGGTGACTCAACGTTCAGTCTATCGACGCGTATCGTTTAACAAGCTCAGATGTTATTCTTACGTTTGATTTCTTACCAATTATTTATCTTAATCTTCTTTATTATGCTCGTTCTTTATCGTTGCTTTGTTTCCCGATCGTTTATCATCTTTCC